GTTGTATTTTAAAACCCAAATGGTCAGTAAAAAATAGAGAAAAATAGATTGAAACCATAAATACATCACTGTATTTATCTCAGGGTGTTTACCTGCAATGCCTCTATGGCCATTTGATAGGATGTCAACTGTTCCAATTGATCTTTAGAACACAGAGCTACTTTGCGCCACATGTGAGCCACGTAATCTTCACTTTCATCCTAGATGCAATCAAAGTAAAAAACAATGGTCAAAATAGGGTAGTATGGCCACATATATTTCATGAGATACAGTACAACAGATGCTCCTTACAAGTGAGAGCTGTACATGTCCACAAATGGTTATACCATAAACAGTTTTGATCTACTGTTTTTTTTTTTTATTCAGTCAAGTTCACAGTGAGATTCAGTGTGAATTTTTCGGCAACACAGCCATTCAACGCTCATCATATGATACATCTAATTTGTCCACCAGAATAGAAAACAAACTCAACTGATACATAAAAGGTGAATGTAGTCAATTCCTTACCTTGAACTTAGCAATATCCATATGCAAGTTTCTTCCCAGTTTAGCTTTAACCATAACACGATGTTTGAAGATTAATCTAGTTAATACAAAAGATATTTATTTAATAGTTGATGTGAATGTCATCATTTTAACCCCCAAAAATGTTGGTGCAAACATTTTATACATTTGTATGCATTTTAAAATTAGCTATAAGTCTTAATCAAGATTTTGGGGACAAAATTATACAGTTTTATTTTGTTGTTGATGCAAGTCTAAATCTCTACATATTTTTGAATATACGAATATATTGTCTTCTCAGTTTGGTGATGCATTAGAAATATAGACATCCAGCAATTCAAGCTTGTAATATTTCCAGGGTTGTTATGATTTGGGTACAAATAAATCTAATATTTGAATAAATTTATATGATTGTTATCCTCCGCTGTGACACTACTGAAACTTCTTTGTTTTTTAAATATAGTAAGGGTCATCAAAATTCAAACTAATTGAAAGAAAAATAAGAATTATTAAACCAAATAATTGTGAAAAAAGTGAAAAAAAAAATTAATAGCAGATATTCCTTTTTGTCAGTTTGAATTTAACAGTTTTTAAGAGGCAGCTAAGTATAGGCAGTACAAAAAGGATTCCAGTACTCACAGTCGGTGCTTAGTCCTCGGCATATCATTGACTGCTTTGTCCATTGCAGCCAAACCTTGTTCCCAATCACCCTGTGAATAAACAGACACAGCAGTTTTAGCTGAAAACTACAATCACACTGGAAACTCATTAATGTTAAATGAAAATTTTATGAAATGTTTCAACAATACTAAGATTCATATCAATAAAGCATGATATCAAGATGTGAAGAAATAATTCCATCATAGAAACAAGTGCAAAAATGTAAAACTTTGACCATTTTCTATGACATTTGGTTTAAACCATAGATCCTACAATAGAACCCTAAGTGCTATGCTTAAACCCATAATAATGCTGAGCATGAAGAACATGAAATATTATCTGAATAGGTGATTTTCCTTCTAACTGTGAAATCTTGCGAGTTGCGTGAAAGACGCACATCGAACATCTGCTGCAAAAATCGTGGGATTTGAATTCGAATGCGTTTGAATACCCTTACTTCATCAAAATTGACCATCATCAAATGTGTACAGTAAATTATTAAGCATGGAAATGTCCCCCAAAATACTTTCGCGTTTGTTGAATCCCACGCGATGTATGTCACTACTACGACGGAAAATGCTCTATTCAGTCAATCTCCTTAAACCACAATAACTATCCAACTCATCACACATTAGTATAATGTGTACGATAGTAAAACTTAGTGTAGCATCATTCATATCTATGTCAATATAAGAAACATAATTAATATACATGACATTGTACAAGAAACTGAACAAACATATTCACCTTGTCAGCATAGGATTGGAACAATACTCCATACATAGCTGCTCGTAATGTTAAATCACTCTCAGGATCACCAAATGCTTGAGATAAAGGTGACATACTACCGAGTGATGATGTAGGAGCTGATGGAGGCACTGATTTCACAGGATCATCTGACTCAGTTCCATTCTCTGTCTTTTTCTTCTCCTACAAACAAAATATGTATAAACAAGTGTGTGAATGTACTTTCTAAATTTCAAACTGTATAAACTGAAAATTCGCCTAAACTAAAGTCAATTCTGGTTCATTTTCAATAAAATTGCTCATGTAAAAATACTCGTAAATTTGTTCTGTTACTTTGGTGTAAAGTTTAGACAGATTTAAAATGTCTAATTGTGAATACCATAGATTTTACCATTGACTGATGTATTATATCAAAACATTTAAAATTATAATTGTGTGAAGGTTTTTGACATTCATGAAGTATGAAAAATATTTAACACCATACTGATGTTATTTCAGTACACTGATGATGACAATACCGCAAGTGAATATTTTTATGTATGAATAAAGAGTTCACCTCTTTTTTGCTTCTCTCCACAGTGGCTGTTATACATTCTAATATTACAGCCAATGGCTGTCTTAGTAGCTGTCTTTCTATTGGCTCACTGACCAATGGCAGAGCAGAATTCCAATAATGCCGTGCTGCTGTTATCACTAACTTGTAGTTATCAGCTCTGCGACCGTACCTGCATATATGAATAACAGTAATATATCACAGGACGTTATAGAAATATAGCACAGGGCATTATATAAATATAATGTACATATATAGGACATTCTAGAAATATAGTACAGGACAATATGAAAATATAGTACAGGACAATATGAAAATATAGTACAGGACATTATGGAAATCAAGCATAGAGAATTATTCTGACTAGTATAATTTTTTTTCAGACAAGCAATTTGTAAATGTAGAGAGAAATTGGATATCATATTCTCTACTATATGTTCTTTAAGCCATTAATCAAAATTGTCCATAATGATGCTCTGCATTAAAATGGTGGACAATCACAGACAAACAGACCCGATCCATACCAACTTTATATATACTAACCTAGCGGCATTTACAAATGCCTCTAATGCAGATCTTCTCACTACATTCTTTCCTTGCATATTATCCATGAGACTTTGTCCCATTATACAACTGGCATAACTCAACATCTCTTGTTGCACCATGTAATTAAAACTGATGAGAAAGATACACAATAATATACAATTGAAAACAAGAAGCAATTGGAAGGGTGGTTATCACCATATCCCGGTAGATGCACACATGGGAGTAAAAAGCATTAATTTGTTTTAACACCAACTGAAGATTTCTCATTATAAAATATTTTGGATGCCAAGTTTGACATTTGAATATTA